ACTCGCGCTAATTACTAAAAACATATTTATGACAATCGTATCACTTACAAGAGCCGAGAAGAATCACTCTGTGTTAATCTGAAATGCAAACAAAGGGACCTGAAAAGTTACGATGATTATACGATTATATAATATATATGTGCATCTACGTTGGGTACCCGAGTTTCTGTAATCCCGAGTTTCGAAAATAGATCTGTGCCCTAAATTTGAATTTATCTGCCCAAAATAACCTCTGATCACAATTAGACGATGTTAAAATTTTATGACATATATATATATATATTATATATATATATATGGCATCTTAATTTCCGTCCAATAAGCAGATTTATCACTATACTGTTATAAGTGACTAGAAGAAGACGAAGGTACTTGTAGACGTGTTTCACGTTATGCTATTTATAACTCCTACATAAAAAACTAAGTACGCAATGTATTGAATTTTTATATATAATATGTATATCTTTTGTTAGCCGACCAGTTGCATTTGGGATAGTCTAAAATATGAAAATACGCAAGGCCCGCTGACTACATCGAAAGCACATATAGGTTATAGCATAAAACTTTGGTACAAAAGTCTAGTTGATGATTCAAACTTGCTATTAAAAAATGCGTGAAGCAATAATATCGGCCGCTTCGAAAGTTTAACTCTCATATAGACAATTTTTACACATATACCGGACAAGCAACGCATCAAGACCCAGTTGGATAACAGTGCGAAATTGAGTAATACTTGATCTATGAAACATAAGTTTTGTTTGTGTATATATATATACATATATAAAAGTCTCAAAATAATAGTCATAATCTTCACAATACGACGTATACAGGGCGTACTAGATGCTAGTGCTGCAATTGTGTACATGTGCGCGGAACAGAGCTCCTTGATAGATTGAATCCTCGCAACATATTACTGGGCTGTTTGTGCTCCACCGCAGGGGTTACCCTTTTTATGGGTAAACTAGCAGTTTAGACAGGTTAGATGGACCCATGGTGGTCAATAAGATGTAAATAAAGCAATGCATTATCATTTCGCGCTCTATATAACAATGTGTCTAGCGATATCTATTCGGCCTAAGAAGAGTGCTTGAGAACGACGGGAGTTATTTAACTACCAGTATCTTTTTGTGATCACAGAGTGGCTATGCAGTGATTATAATATGACAAGCATTTATTAAGTGTGTTTATAGAATACTGGAAAAACCTTCTGAAGGGTGCAAGAGTTAAAAACGGCCTCGGCCTGAAGTCGCAGCTACCATGGCATTGTTGTAGTGTGCCTATAGATTGTTGACTGGGTTGGGCAGAAAGCTTTTTTTCAAACAACTCGGTACGACATGTTGCCATCTTATCAGCCTATAAACGTGAATCACATTAAAGATGAACATATCATTTTTTGGAAAATGAATAAAGAAAAAATGTATCTTCTCTGTACGCGGCCTTCTAGTGATGGCCTCCTAGTAAAAAAAATCGAAGTCAGCTATTAGCTATGCGGAATACGCTGCTCATTTTATTCCAAAGAGTCATTGTTAGAGTAGTCACCTCGAATAGAAGAAGCCAAACATGTCTGTAGCCCATTGCCTAATGGTCATAGGGTAATCACGACATATGTCGTGCGGTGGCCCATTAAAATGGTCACATTGAACCAACTGTAACGACGACCCCGCCTAATAGTTAATTAAATTCTTAAGGAAGCTTTCTACTCAATTGTATTGATAGCATGACTCAATGAAAGGGTACAAGGAACGAGACGATGTTAACAAGAAAGGGCAAAAAAACTCATTTGATTTATTCGTTCGTATCCGAGAAGGAATGACAATAGTCGTGTTTTTTTTTTTTTTCTATGATTTCCTCATTTTTTTTCCCCTAAATATACTCTGCTTCAGTAACGGGTGTATTTGACTGCTGATAGATGAGCATGTATAACGATAAAGTAACTTCAAGCGTGCATTATTCGTACTTGAATGTAGTTCATCATTGAAAGTAATGCTTTTTTGCGTAGCTAAGACAAGGCGCGCTCAAGCGAGTTCACAAAGGAGAGCGCTACTGCAACAAAAGCCAAAGGCCCTCATACGTACACCTTATACCATCTGCTTGCAGTATACATATTTAGCCATGTAACCGCAAAAAGGCCTGATCCAAACCGCTTTTCAGTCGACTCGTAGTCAGTATGGACTCTTTTTTCTTGTACTACTTTGCACGATGACAATAGAGCAACATGGACCCAACAAAGGTTCAAGAATTTAAACGGCCCTTTCACAAAAAGTCTTTGTACCATCTTAGAATCTTCCAGGAGATGCATTACTCCTTCGAGCCAGCCTCGCTGATAATATCCAATCGAATTTTTCATGCTCGATGTCTGTTGTTGGGAATGCAGTCAGTTCATATCGGGTGTTCTTCAAATCGATGTACTCAAATAAATGAGAAATCTATTTCTTTGTAAAGGGACGACCTTCAGAATGGAGTTATGATTATTCGGTGTCAAATGTAGATCTCTATGGACCGCCCCTATTTCTTATACAGCCTCGTAAGTGTGTGCACAGACCTTACACTCTAACTATAATAGTACTTTGATATAGCCGCAATTTTTCTTCCGAAGGTTAACTGCAATTGCAGTACGTACAGGGTGCAGCGAATACTAATATGTGAAATCGTTTGTCTTAACGAGTAATGCCTAATCTGTTTGTTTTGCGAAGCAACCATCGTAGTGCTATCCGTGAGTGTATTTTTTCTAAAAATTATTTATTGGTAATAACACGCGCTATATCGACGTGTATTCAAGTGTTCGTCCAAACGTAAGTATAATAAAATCTATCTATCAAGGTATTTTGATGATTAGCAGTACAGTCAACGAAATCATAGCCTAGAAGACGATGTCAGCCTCTCTTAGATCGTCGCCTTTTACAGTCAGGTCTAGATAGTAAGGACGGTCGTTGGTTAACCTTGTACATCCTTTTGTGCCGTCTAAATAACTCCGGACGACTCTCGCCGTAAGACATTAGTAAAAAGAACAATATTCACAAATATTGTAGTGGGTCACACACGCTCGGAGCAGAAAAAACCTGCAGCTGCCCTTCGGGCCACTGGTCTGCCAGCTTATATCAATGTAGTTATTGACCAGGCAGGTGCTTGATACCTCTGAAGAAGACATCAGCATTTTCAGTTGCATCGGTCTTTTAACCGGAACCGTCGTAAGACAACGAAAGTATAACAGCAGCAGTCCTTCCGTCTCACTCCGAAAGTGGCCGGTAATTGTTGCTTACGTCAACAAATGATTGTAAGCCAATAATCAAATGGAGCAATATCATTCAAATGGTAGTGACTGACGAGTTGGGAACGTAATGCCTTGTCGAAGTATTGCTTTAAACTAAGCTTCACTTAGCTTATGATAAGGTCGTATTGTTGAGTAAGTACGATGTTGTTTCTACTCGGCTAAACATATCGAATATATAAAACTAGAGAACAAATAAAGCTATAGTATCTAAGCTTCTTCAATGATCGGTCGGATGTATAGACTCAGAATTATCCATATATAAAACAACGTTTTATATATCTGTAACTGTTGTTTAAATCTGAGTAGCATGTAATTACGACAGATGGACAGACGCATCAATATGACGCTATGGGTTAGTCAACAACATACTTAAAGTTAGCCGAACACACGTTATACTTAATGCGGCCATAATAATTTCCGTAGTTTAGGGCTTTTGCCATCTTTCCATTAATATAATATTTCGAAACGACCGAATAGCGCTGGGAAAGTGTTGGTAGGAAGAACATTTTAAAACACATCGCCGTTGGTATTCGACGTAACTGTACGACGTGACGGGACGAATAAACGGCACAAAGGATGGCGTGAGGATGACGAATCGATTCTGACGCCGATATCGCTGTTTATCCACCAGAATCCTAGTTATTAGGTGACAAAACATTTTATGTACAATCGGTCGGTTATCGTATTGCTTGCTTCCGAATCCGACCAAGCGACAACATATGCAAAGCACTCGATTCATTAAAGGCAGGCTTGGCGAACCGTATGGGTAGATCAATGATGAAAAGGCCAAAGAATGGAAATCTATGCCCGCCTAAGCGATCACGTTCAGCTGCTACTTCGCCAACTGAGTCGCGTTGGGTCCGACTCAAGTCTTCTCGATTTATCTCGCAAAACTATGTTGTTGATGCAGCTTGTAATTGTTATTGATCTTCACCTGATCGACTGGCTGGCTGGCTGGCTGGCTCATTGGCCAGTTCACTCCGTCGACCGCATTTGTGACTCAAACTTTTTGCAGTTTACCTTCATCCACAAGACTTACGATCGTGGATCGATTATGGCGGTAGGTATGTCCTCAGGGCATTTTTGAAACGATGATGCCAAATCTCCAATTTGCGACGACGATTTGGAGACAGAAGGATTAGGGTTTTGGCTACGTTTATACAGTCTATGGCATGGTTTCTTCCATACTCTCGTAGTCACAAAGGAGCTACGCTCCATTTTTAAACAAGCTAAAGACAAACCGCAGGTACAACATGAAGACCGGTCCATGAGTTGAATTTACTTGTCATCAAAACAAAACTAGTGATAATAACTTCCTTTCAGACGGATCAATATTTCTGTTGGTTTTAGGGCTCTGTTTGGATGTAACTGAATATTATTGACGGTGGCATGGGCTGTAGGTAGAAAAGTATACTTTGGGTACATCTTTGAAGCAGCTCAGAGTATAAATAATTATTTTGGAGCCAATGCAAGAACATTTACCTAGTGGTAAAGGTCGCCTCACAATGTGACTCGCAGAACTACTTCTGGCATAGAACCATATAATTCGTCCAATATTATCAGAGATAAAATTAAAAATTTAAGATTACCCTTTTGCAGAAAAATCAACACAAGTTTTGTCAGTAAATTAATATTTTGACTGAATAGTTCAGGTCTAGTAAATAAATTATGTAATAGTAACAGTAATATTAATGGTACATACTTGTTTTGTGAACGTTTCCTGATGCAGGAATGTCGGACGAAATCATCGAGCTGAATGTTGGCGGGACCTCATACACAACAAAGAGGTCCACCTTGATGAAGAAAGAACAGGGATCCTGTGTTCTCAGAGATCTTTTCACTGACGGAGCCAAAGACTCCCAGGTAAGAGCTGCATAAAAAACCCTTGTTTTTTTTAAGTTAAAAGAATCCATAAAGCTTCATAAATCTTAGTCCTAAAAAAGACGTTGCTCGGATGCAAGCCCTCAGGTAATTTGTCAGAAGAAATGATTAGCTGAAAGAAGACAAGCTTTAGTCCACAGCTGGCAATAATTGCAAGATTGGTCTGATAAATCTGCCCCGTACGTAAACGGATTAATGAAACGTCAGCTTTGATGTATTGGGTGAAGCTGAATAAATTTGAAGCATATCTATATGCACATGGAAGCGATAGGGAAGAGGCTGAGAAGACTTCGTTACGCCTGAGAGCACTGTGCGAATACCTCGGTACTTCAAAGTATTACAGGGCCTTGAAAATTGCGCATAGGTGATTCAATAATACCTCTTAATCCAGTATCCTGACACAAAGTAAACTTGGTAAGTACATTATCTTGTCGTTGTTAAAAAACAAATTCTTTGACGTAGATATTTTTATAAGATGGCTACATAGTCTATGACCTTACTATATGATTTACATGGAAGCATCTTAAACGTATAATATAGACTACGGCTTCGTATAAGGGCGGCCCACCTATACGCTTTCATGAGCATGTCGTGCGTCAGGACACGTTAATCACCGTACCACAACAATAAAGCTCTTGTCAAAATTGCAAGTATTCTTAAATTTGTAAAGATTTAGGGTTGAAGGCGTCTGTTCGTTTCTTACCGAGATACATGTCGATCTTTTATTCAGCGACGCCCGCTTGATGTAGTTTATTTGGCCGATAGAACCGATCTACTGAGCTGCTATTGAGAACGACTGAAGAATGAGGCTCGATGAGAAGCTCTGGTATACCCGCAGCTAGATATGATAGCTTTTACCAGCCGATCGGTTCTAGCTAGTGTTGTTATCTCATTACAATTATTTTATATATATAATCCGGCATCAATCATTGCATCATATATGGATTTGCCCGCTGCTTGACTGCTATATTTATAATCACCAAATGAGACTTCACACGAAGTTTCTGGTAAAAAGCACAATTATTACCTAAACAGAATATTTTCGGTTACATTCATAAGTAGATGATTTACTAGAATTTAATAAAAACAGTTCAGCACGATTGATACGTCAACAAACGAAAGCTAAACTTTAGAAGAAATAAGAACTAAATATTTTTTAGCATGTTTTTTTAGTAATAGCGCTATATGTATTTCGAATACATCAGTATGACTATTTCCCCAGTCGTCACCGCTAACCTTTCATCTAGTAAACTTTACGTTACGGTATTTTTATAAGACATACGAAAATTATAGGCTGGTTATGATGGGGAAGTTGATTTGTAATGTACCGCATTTTCACAAGACGTGACACAACTTAATGCTGACCCTTTCCTCGTATTCGCTTAAAAGATAATGCTAACTCGTGCAGACATTCTTATAAACTACACCTTCGTGTACAGCTACCCCCTGACACCATGTTGTACAAGAACAACCCCTCTATTTTGTAATCTACTGATTTTGCTCGATGACCCCTGTAAAAAAAAACGTACCCCTGGAGGATGTGTGAAGGACGTTGCAGTAGTGCCAATGTTCCAATCTCTCGTTGACGCTCTATCACCAAAGTGACGATTGCACGTTCGCGTGTGTATTTTTAACAGTTCCACATGTCTAAAAGTACATGATCAAATTTTCTCCTAGTCCAACGAGCTGGATGGAGCTATACGCTCTGATAACTGAGAAATCCATGAAATCAATGGTAGTTACGCGAATCGCGGGCGTTCAGTATATAGTGAATTATTATAACGTAATTCAAACCTGGCAACATAGAATCCTCGTGCTAATGCGTACACTTACGTGAAGCACACGGGGCTTGCAAACAGGTTTCTGTCGTTACCTTTATCAACATATCGTCTTGCCTTCATTCCTATTTCGGATCGCTTTACTGTCAATTCAAAAGTCCCTTTCACTTAATGCTGAAACGATCGAAAATCGATCGTTTTAGCATTAACTAGTAACCCAATCTGATCTTACAACAGTCGTATGGCTCTTTATTAAGTCTCCCCATTAGCTGTCTACATCAATAGCAAACATTAGTTGTACACAACAGTTAGAACCCTTTTAATGCTCTTACGTCAAATAAGTAATATACGTAAAAGCCAGCTTTTTCATCTAAAAAAGTTAAATTTCGCGCCGCGTTTCACAGTTACCACGGCCTAGCTACACTACACCTAAATAACGTACAGTATACGGCATGGAGCACACAGTGAACTGATTCTCTCGGCAATTCATCCATCCATCCATCGTCGGGCGTTATACGAGAACTTTGTCTGCCGTCTGACCGGCTGGATAGAGAAAAATTTAATTTTCGCTTCGAAGTATTTCATTAATAACAATAATGGGATACTGCGAAATCACGACGTGGTGAAAGTCAAAGATCTGTCAATGTGATGGGTCCACTTTCTAAAGTACAGTGAAGTCGTACTGCCATTCGGTGGGCCGTTTGTACTTGGGACGAACACTGCGTAGAGAGAGGCAAACGTCTCCTTTAGTGGTAGCTACAAGTCGCACCAGAGCTACGAAATAAGAGAAAAGCCAACGCCAAAGCAGACGAATTTCCGTTATACGTTTCAGCTGCTTTTTCGTGTTGTCACCGCAAGCGCGTATCCAAAGCAAAACTAAACAATGAAAGCATTTTTCAGTGACGCTGCTTTATCATTCGACGGAAGACGGTAGACAGAAGGCTGACTAAAGAGACACGAAATGAATCGGAAGCAACATGGCCGTTAGCGACTTTACGGCTTGTTGCTTTTGAACTGCTAGAGTTTATAGAAATGATTACAGCCTAGTACCTGCGTAGAGGACGCGCCAGTAGGCCCCTGTTCAGTTATCTACGGTACTGGCACCAACAGCCAGGTTCTATATATAAAGGTTCTATAAAATTTATTCACTTGGCTCTTATTGCACATCCTAATAAATCAACGATTTTCTGGTTAATGATAGAGTCATCTCATGAGCGTCAGGATCGAAGCAGGCTATCTGCCCTCATTTCAAAATTGAATTTAATTCGAGACTGGATTTTTTTTTTAACGTTAAGGAACACTGCTACAGGGCTGTTTTCAAGGACAAATACGTTTAATTGCTTCAGATCATTGATTCAGATCAAACCCGATTTCTAACGTTTGTTAAGCACGGCAATGAGCCATGTCTCAGCGATAGCTCATTTATACAATATTTTCTGCTGTTTTGCCCGATAACTTACGTTGACTAATCTATAAATCAAATAATTTAGATTTCCTCTATAGGATAATTCATTTCTTCCAATTTTCTACTAATCCGTTTTGCTAACTGTCGATTAGCATTGAGCGCTATAAAAAGAAATAATTCAGATTTCACCAAATGAATGCTGTCAACCGTTCGCAACTATCGGTATATACTATTAATATCTCACAGAACAAAATATCAGTAGCTTCACTAATAGAGACAGATACGATGATTTTGTGAAACAGGGCAAAGGGTAGATCCCTGCTTTCCGCTTATTTATCATACTATTTCGTCGTTTTGTCCTGGATTTCTATTTAGGGTCGCCTGTTCGTGGACCGTGATGGTGCATTGTTTCGCTATGTGCTCGACTACCTTCGCAACGGTAAAGTGACTTTACCTGAGGGCTTCACAGAGCGTGAACGACTTCGCCAAGAGGCCGAATTCTTCCGGCTGGCCGAACTTTCGGCTGCCCTCAACATTTCCGGAAATGCTACCTCACTCGTACCCTTCCCCGGCCAGCCGGGCTACGTCACGGTCAGCTACAGGTAAATTTGCCTTGCGCCAAGAATAGACCTGATCAGTAGCGTTTGACGTGGGCATTTTGTTCGACATAATAAAACTTTTTAGACAGACGTCGATTGTCGGTGTGGGTTTAGAGTGCGCTAAATATCTCGCTTGGCATATACCGTAAGCTAAAGAGGAAGATTTTTATCTAATTGGAATAATATTATACGGTTTGACAAGTTTCGCAACGAAACAATGCATTTTCGAATAAAGTGGGGGGTAATCCTCCCGCATTACTATCGAAATTAATTTTAATAGGTACATGCTTGTCGGGGCCAACACATTAAATCTATTACTCACTGTTCGTAGGAATGGCAGCAAACAGAACATAGAAATTCTTTAAAAACTTGATTCATTGATTAATAGCTTAGTTAACTGGTGAAGGTTTATCAGTTCCGTTTTATAGTGCTCATATTTTCTGGACAATGATCTGTGCTTTAGGTAATATGGGCCTCGACATTTTTAATGAACTATCCATTAAAGGCAACGAGCTATACGTACCATCAGAATTACGTAGTTTTTTTCTTTTTTAAAAAACATTACGCTCTCTAAATACATCATCTCATGGTTGGTGAAATGATTTCTACGGACATAGCCAGCTATTGTGTATTAAATAAGGTATGATATACGCACGCCTTCATTAAGTGCATTTTCAAAGATTTAGCTTTCTTTAACTTTCTATAACTAATGTTTTTGCAGAGCCAATAGTAAGAAGCTATGCTACTAAAGAAAGTGCTGTATCTCAAAACGGGACAATATCGAAATACTATCGAAGGCACTTCCTAGTAGTCTTGGCATGTGTATATATGTAGTAGGCCAATATCAGGTGTCCAATTCAGGATAGATCTCCTAGTAGAATGTTTCTGTGTGCGACTGCACGACTATGAGGGATGTGTTTTATGTACGGTTCGAGAACTTAACAAATATATAACTATAGACGTATTTTAGTATTGACATGTTCAGTACTCGTCGTTGTATCTCATGATAAGAAGTTTACGAGTTTTTCTCTGTTTTTGAACGTGCACTCCTGTTGAGTCTCTAACACACGCTGGCCAGGGTTCGGTGTGCAAAATACCGTGCAGAATGGATAAGCAGGCCATACCTGGATCGCGTCACGAATTCTAGTTTAACTTCCTTCTTAATCGTAAGGGCTCGCAAGAGAACGCTGTTAGAAAGGTGTAACCTAAAGCCGAAGTCTGTTCCTTTTCAGCCAAGGTAAATATATTCGCTAGAGTGTGTTTTATTTTGGAAGCAAAAGGCCTCAAGAAAAAAGGTGACTTGAAAGGCAGACTGGCAAAGCTAACGCAGATGAACCAGAAAACAGAAACTAATGTACTGTGAGTGTTCATACACGGTCTCTATCTGTGTATCGAGAGAAGCCTATTGATTTTAAAATGGGAGTCAAGTAATGCTAATAGATAAGGCGAATAATTATGAGTTTATTTCCGATATGAGAAGTAGGTAAGTTCCATTTTAGATATTCAGTGGCTACAAAAAGGAGATGCCTAGACGAAGCATGAATTTCTCAACTGCGAGGTTCTTCGTTTAAATCCTGGCTGATGCGGGTGCAATATATATGCAATGTTTCGTGTGAGGGTGGATGCTCAGCTCTGACAGAAAAATGATCATCATAGTTTCGTTTATATACAGTAATTTATAGGTAAGTTCCATATACGATTCAAGTTGCTATAATAGAATAATAGTAATATATAATTTGTCCGCTTCGCGTTTATTTCAAATTTTTACGATATGCCACGATAGTGAGCTCAAATTGTACAAGTAAACAACCTCCATACGCTTATATAGCACATTTTAAGAAAGTTCGAGGCTATTTAGACACGAAAGACGTATTAGCGAGCGCAGCAACCCTATCAAGCCTTACCTTAACCCACGAGAAGGAACCGCAGCTCATAGAACTAGGTACGTAACGACGAGATAGTATCAACATCGTAACATTGAAGATTTTCCCAGACTGTTCAAGGGTCGACATAAACTATCCTTCAGCCTTTGTTTGACCTCGCTCTAGCTAGTCGACGCTACTGGTTTCATAAGAGATGAATACTCATATTAAAACAAGCCGATATCCTTCGCCAGAGCGAGCGCTACACTGTGGCCAGATTAGGTAGAGGGCCTGGTTAAGGCTAACTAGGCATCGCATCATCCAATTGGATGGTTCCAGGCGTAGGCTCATACAGACGCGCCGAGCTGCACTACTTCTGTGCTCCTCTGACCCTAAAACCACTTTACCCGTCTTTTACGATGGACTTGGCGTCTCGTAACGCCCTTTTCTGCCAGCACTCCTCAATACATTTGGAATCAATTTAGACGCAAGGCACTGCTTCCAAATCCACCACATGCACACCAGAAAACCCAAATTCTGTGCTATCATCATTTTTGTTGTTTCCGTGTTTTTTCTTCCCCCTTTAAATAAAATGTATTTCGTTAACAAATGCCCCACATTGTTCTAACATCCATCATATACAGACGTCTTCTTCCTTTCGGGAACTGCCAATGGCGTATACAATAATAGGGCAAATCTCTCCAAATAATCTCACCAAAATATTATACAAGCATAGGCTTCACTGAGATTCCTTTTAACAAAATGCGGTCGTTAGTCTATGCGGATGCGTCTGAGAGTAAACGAACTATATATAGGTATATTATTTTTTTAAATAAGCAGATGTGCGCACGCATGCTTTGTACACTCAAAAGGATAGCAGTGCAGTCAAGCGAGTATCTGAGGTTTGCCATACTTGCATAAAGAAGGGAAGGACCGTACATAAGGGTCTCTTCACGGATCGTTAGAATATTTCCTAAAAGAAGGCTATTAGTTCATTGTACTTTGATCCAAGATGTATCAACGCGCGTTTCGTCCTTCTCCTACCTACCCTTCTAAGAGGTACACTTACAAAAGGAAGCAATATATGCTTGATAGCTTTTCATGTTCTTTGGGGGAGATAAGTAAGTTGACCGAAATAGTCAATTATTTAACATAACTGTTCTCCGGAAAAATGTTCACAAGCCAAAACGAAATAACATCGTGTTAGTTTAGTACCTTTACGTACAAAACGATAACTAATTGTACGAAATTGCTTAAAAGTATTTGACTTGAGGAAGAACCAACTGTCGTGTTTTATATATTTGTCCGCATTCGCAAAAGTCGAAACAACAAACAAAAAATTTTAATAACAGCAAAAGAAAGAAAAAAAAAGAAGATGTGATCATAGTCAACTCGTTTTCTGCCAGACTCTTCATGTGAAATGTTACCTGGACACTGTTTCGTAGATACGTTCACTTATAAAAAAAACGAGTGAATTTTGGACATAGTTAACAAAAAGAAAAATCAGTCAAATCACGTTGGTACTTACTGAGGCAATTAACCTTGAATAGGTGTCGTTAACTGCGTGGACGACAGGTAGTAAGTTAGCAAATATAAATATTAAGATCACATCTAAAAAAAAACTGTGACACATAGAAGAAATTACGCGCAGAAAGAGATAAACAAAAAAATTTCTTCTTATCGAGGTACTATATACAATTTTATGCAGTGGTAAGTTCGTCCGCCGAAGTGCCAAATGGTCCATTTGGTCTCACAAATTTTTATCGACTAATGTGAACTTCCGTTGGCTCATGCAGTCGAATTAGCTATACCTGTAAAGGAAGTAGCTGTAGTAGAGGGTCATTGTTGGTGTTCTTCTACCAATTCTGGAATTCTAATTATCTCACATAGGACCAACTCGGCCGTAATCCTTACGCCGCTGCTTTTCGTGTTCCCGGCAGTCGAAAGGCCAGAAGACGTTGCGAAAGTATGAACTGCCTTCCTCATTCGACTTGTCCATTACCCAAGCGTGATTTAAAGTTTATTGCTCAGGGTATATTTTGTACAAGGTGCGCGCGATAGCTGATACTGATTAATGCATTATAGATAGCTTTTACAAAAAATGTTCGGCTAAACTAGTGCTAACTACTTGTTTAGGATAGAAGTAACAACTCTGCCAAAATATTGTAACATCTAGTGGTAAATGGACCGCTTTGGGTGCGTGTATATGATCATCTCTCTAAGAAAATAAAAATTTGTTTTATTTGTCAATATCGTAACCAAATAACCCACTTTGTGTTACTGACGCTCGTAGATTTTTCTAATATAAACAGTAAAGTAACTTAGCCTCTTCTGGCGTCTATGGATAAACCAATAGCAAGTCAAGGCAGCTCAAGCACGGCTTTTGGTACGAAACCGGGGGAACATCGACCACTTCATACGCTATCATCATACATTTACCTTCTCAGTACAACCAGCGAACCACATCAGAGTACCAGTATTTTATGACCGTTCAGATAGTGAATGTCTTACAAAGGTTGGAAACTGAGTTGTTGGTTATTCAAGGCCCATTCTGAAACATAGAATCTATAATGGATACCACATTGTATGTAGATCTAGTGAATTTCTTTTTTCTCAAAATCCGTGTTTCTAACTCGCATGAAGTTTTAATGACAACAGCCCGTTCACTCTGTTCCAAGTCCAGATCCGTGGGCCAAGCGTTCTCTGTTTGCGCTAGCACCCAACATACCGCTCATTGTTTAGGCCTCTTTGTTGTAGAAAAGCTCTGCTTTACTCTACAAGAGCAAATCTGGAAAAGAAAACATCAGTGAGTGTCCAACGCAATCCGTGCGCATACTATCGCCTTACTTAATGGAAAACATAATTTTTCATTCCAGGGGGACATTTGCTTTCGGCCGCGACGGTTTGGCGGATGTAAAGTTCCGCAAGCTAACCCGCATCCTCGTTTGTGGAAAGGTGACCATCTGTAGGGAGGTATTCGGGGACACCCTGAACGAATCGCGTGACCCAGATCGAGGCCAAGATGATCGTTACACCTCACGGTTCTTTCTTAAACACAATTCCCTTGAGCAGGCCTTCGACATGCTGCAAGAAGCACGCTTTCAGGTAAAACTGACGCCCAGGCACAAAGTACGCCTTTTGATTATGGATGACGAAAACAAATGCGTGTAGCACTCATATCCTATTTTTACCATTAAAGAAAAATTAATTTCCATTTGATTGAAAGAAATGGATTGCTGATAAATTTTATTACCTTACTTTAAGTAATAACTGAGCAGTAATACGAAAAAAGAACTATCTCCCTTCAAACTTCAGCAAAAATTAAATTCTCCTTTGGATTGTTATCATCCATAATTTTATAGTAATCGCGTAGTTACCGTGCAGTTTGACTAGCAATTGAAGTTACTTTTTCCATATTTTGTTATATGCTTTCGATAAAGTGCGTGTGCGCTTGCGGCTCGGGTACTTCATGCGGCGGCAATGGCGGCGAACCTTTAAAACCCGGCCTCGATTCAGAAGAGCAACGATGGAATCATTACAATGAGTTTGTCTTTGTTAGAAATTAGAGTGACGATTTAACTCATCGGAAAATGAAAAGCATGTTACTGAAATTCGGCTTACCGAACACCAATAGAACAAACAGTCTAGCGGCTATATATTATAGCATCAATAATATGCATCCAGGTTAACAACAGCTAGTAAATAAACAGGAAAAATACTAAAAGCTCAACAATTCTAGATTCTGTTAGGTTCGGATACGTGATTACTGACAACAAGATAATGACACGAAATAATAAACTAATTATATATTTGAGGACAATTCAAATTACAGCGGATAAGCTAAAATACATATACATACAATAATAAATAGAGAGCAAGACTGTGCGTAATGATTAAGCGACAGTGAGAAAGTAAAAAGTAACCTTGTGAAAAAGTCCACTAATTGATAATAAAAATAATTAGTAGTACATAGTAAACATAATAGTAGCAACAACAACGTAAAATACAAGTGAATTCAGTCTTATTCGGATTTAGTCGCCAGTCGAAAGGGAGACATGGCGAGAAGGATAGACCTTGCTTTCGGGAGGACCACGCAAGATATTCTAGTATCCGCCGTCCAACTCTAGCAAGGACCTTACCGCTTCCTAGACAAGTGAGACCTCCACCTCCCCGCCAAAACTCCTTACCAACTAAGCCCTAATGATGACAGAAAAGCATTATCCCAATACATGTATGCTATATATTGACATAAAACAGTCAACAGAAACAAAAGCTACTTATCGTCGTAGTATTTCGTTATCCTAACATATGAATTAGCAAAACAAAAAACAATTTGTAATCGTTGTTAGTGATGTCAATTACTTTGATGCTAGTTAACTTACAGTTAGGACCTGCATCAACTTATTGCCTCTTTTGAAAACGTAATTATGATAGTAGAAGACCTGAGAAACGAAAGCGGATTAGCCGAAAAATAAGGATAGAAAACACATCCGAATAACGTGGTGCTCTCTGTTCCTTATCGGGTAATGACACATAGACGACGATTTAAAGGTATGGGACCTCGAATTAAACGGCCGAATTTCCCACTTGTCCCTCCACGAGCCACCTCACCATGGTATCAATATATATATATATATATCCTTCAGGTAAAAGTTCTGCCCGACAGAGCAGATGGCCACGTGGTAATGGACGGTGGGCATTAATGGATACCTGAGGCGTTAGCAGCAACGTGTAGGCAAAATGCAAACTCATTTCGTTTCCTGTTATAATGCTCCACGGCTGCTAGTCACTACTAGGCTGTCGAAGCATTATTGGTAACTTATTTACTGGTCGTTCAGTTTACGTGGCGGTACATCAGAAATGTGAAGTCTGCTGAGTTTCGAATCTAACGTATTTCTTACGAGTGAGTTCGGCGTACGAAAAAGCAAGTAAGGTAATACAGAGAAACGCGTTGAATTTTCAATTCCATTACTGCAACTTGTCTCCCATCCTGGAACGCTTCTTGTTTATCTAACGAAAATTCTTGATACTTGTAGGATAGTGATGATTATTTCTCCTGCTGATGTATGTCGAGCAGTTTTTGGTTAAGTTCCAAAAGAACAGATCTGACATTCGTGTTTTTGGCACTTTTAGACGTGGGGATAGAAGGACTATTAATAATAGTCAGGTAATGCAGGAGAGCATCCGATGAAGGTAGCGGAGAAGTAGATTGAAAACAACTTGAAGTTGTCATCTATATAATACTTAGGGATAGTAGTAATATTATTGCAACCACATTTCGTAGCCTGGCAATTAAATTGAGTAATGATTTTAAGTACACTATTAAGAATACACTATAAAAAGGGCGATTATATGTAAAGTACTATTGCGATAACGTGATACGACGGTCTGATGTTGCGCAAAAATCGATCAGTAACTAAGTTTCTATTAAATTATGACAAAGGGCGCCTGGAAAATTGTAATGAGAGCCTGAAGAAAGCGTCAGTTGAAGAGCAGATACCCTCAGGAATGGGGAGATCGTGTTTGGCGCGCAACTTCAGACGCACATAGAATGGTTTGAGCTTTCGGTCCACAGAATGCTTTGGTCATCCTAATCTCTTTTTGATCTTATTCTATTTCACTATTATGCTGTAGGCAACTTGAACGAAACGTTATTACAGATAAGACAATAACTATATACGCATACGCAAAAATATAATTATATAAGTATATATACAGAGTTAGTTGCTGTAGAAAAGATTAACGGAACTAAGTTGTCGGTGCGTGATGGCCTCTACCATGTACTAGAATAAGGATATCCATATATATGTATATGTACATATATATATATATACATACACAAAACAACAATAAAATGTTTGAACAGGAGAAAGAAAGAAAAGGTGCGAGGAGATTTTCCTTGAATTATGCCCTAACCTATCATTAGGACGAAAACTGGGACCTCCAGTTAGGATGTACCGATAGACGACTCTGTGGTTCGCGCTTGTTGCCCGTCTTGCTGTAGGTTTGATGACAATAAATGTAAAATTGTTCCTCTCACACACACGTAATTGTGTGAAATTGAAGTTTAGTAGTCGCGTCAGAAAGCGACCTTCAATCAGATATCGGTTTTCGCACTTTGTTTATTAAAAAAAAAGGAGCGACACAACGCTCGCTCAAGCTGCGGCAGAACATAACGTGGGCTTTTGGGGCGTCTCTATTTGTAACGGGCCCTGTTACCCGTTATACCTGATCTACCTTTGAAATTAGGACAGTTTATCCTCCCAGAGATGTACTAGTGAACATGACAAAAACAAATGATTAGTTAGTATGACGCTAGCTGAAAAATAGATGTGGGCAAGATAGCCGGATAGTTTAAAAAAACCGAAAAGTATCGTACCGCTTATCATAACTACGGAGAGGAAACGGTCGATGAGTTTGGCTGCGAACCAGCGTTCGCAAGTTGAGGTTACATTTCTGTGGTCGTGGAGACGGGCGGTCTAGGGAACTTATTGTCAACGGAAATGTTTAGTAATACGGTTATTGCACCGAAAGCAAGTGTAAGAGAATAAAAGAGCAAGTAAGGCTATCCGCAGACACTCTAACTGTAAATGAATAAACATAAAATGGTAACTATACGTAAGAGTTCTAGATCCAAACAGGGTGTGATCAATATAGTTCTATTGAAAAGAAGATCGAAAACGAGAGCAGAACCATGCCAAATGCAGGGTGAAAAAACAAAAAAAAAAAACATACTGAGAAGGTAAAAAGGTAGAATGAGAGGAATCCGAAAAGAAAAAAAAGCTAATTTAGATTTCCGCAGTAGAAAAAAAAGTATAAGGATGCAGAACGTTCTAAGGAATGGCAGTATGAGAATTAGTTGTTGAAAAGTTGATCATAATAATAATAATAACGTTAAACCCTAGGACACATACATGAGACACATACTAATACACATATATACATACACAGAGAAAAGTACGTGCAGGAAAATAAGATGAAGAGAACTAAGCCGCGCACACGGTATGCCAAACACAAAAAGAGACGTAGGCGGTTTGTTTATTTCAGCGCTATTAGAAATAAGCCGCTACAACAAGACATGGTCATCGTATTAGTCCTGATGGTATCGGGTAGCCGAAAACGTCCGCCAAAACGACGAGTAAGCAGGAACAACGACGCTGAGAATGGACGAAAAGAAAAAAAAAAAAAGAAAAAAAGAAAAAGAAGCTACTCAGTATAAGATCACATGCATAAACTGGTTAATGGGTTTACTATGCATAGAGCACAGCATTAATCTCGTACCCTGTAAGTTGCTTTCTTACTCTTTACATCATCAGCATAATTGCGACACACGCTGGCGGATGTGAGAGGCAAACTGTGAAGAGTAACTTGCCGGTCATTGCCCATGCGGTGGCTATCCGTAAAGCCGCAATATGCCAAGCACAAGCAGGAATAGCGCACGTTAGATATACTTAGTTAACTTGTTGCAGTACATTAAGATGTGAAGCCTTCTGTCCGTCTTCATTGCATGATACCCGCGCATATGCTGCTAACCGAGAGAAGGGGCCGCTAGTAAATAAGAAAGTCGGTTTCGTTAAGAGCCAGTCTGATCTGATTCTGTTTACGAAATGATCCGTGGTTACTCTGGTACACAAATACCGCATCCTCAAGATCGCCAGCCAGCTTGATACTGGATTAGGTAACGATTAGACGAGTGAATGGTTTCACGCTTTGACTATAACGTCACTATTAGTAACAACTAAAATCATGAAAGTAACATATATAAGTGTTATCGTTATAGCAGATATTATACATAACGTTACGATGATACCGCTAGTGAATGTCGTATATATACATACGACATATATAATTTATGAACTACTAGTTACAACGGTAGCTATAATATATTGCTAATTAACTTAAGATACATCATCGGCGCTGGAGGCGGGAGCGTTACTCTACCCAATAACGATAATTAATGTATCTATTATATATAAATATACATACATATATTCTATTATACCATGCAATCTTCTTCATTACGAATCATCCATCATACCACTGGTGACCAAAGGTACAACAACAAGAGTTAGTATAACGATAATGCTACCTATGTCTGTAATAATGAATGAATCCATTATTCTATGGAATATCTGCACATGTATATATATACATGAAGCACACGCTATCCTACATATAGGTATCTGCCACGAAGCGGGACCTAGATAGAAACAGCTGATACATTGTTACCGGTTGGCGATTTTGAACGTCGGTTGAGGTCGCCGTGGTAGGGGCAGTTCCACGGCTGGGGCGTTCGACATTCGCGTTAGCCTGGAACATCCGCTGCGGCTTCTGATCGACGTACTATTGGCTGGTTACTATCACTTAACGTTTATGTTACTCAGGTGATCAATGAGCAAATCGCCTGATGGCTGCTGTATTTAAAGACCCGGTTCATTGTATGAATATAACGGTAATAGATTCAGGACGGCAGAGACACTATCCACCCTTTACGGAATCGGGAAATATAGGCCGAGCAAACGTGATTAACGCTCAGATCAATGTGTTTTGGATGATAGACAGATTGGTTGGCTGGGCATAGGTGTTGGGATGAACTTAACTTCCCAGTTAGTTTAGGCTGTTTTTTGCGATCGTCATTTATGCGTCATGCTATTCAACAATAAAAACACCACCGCCGTCAGGTATACTTCAAAAATGTTTTCTTTTTTAAACATTACAGGATTAGTACGATGGCGTTAGATATGAGTGTTCGGATTAGCTTAGCAAAACATAACCTGAACACTCATAGCTTTAATAACTTTTGTTCATAATCGATGGTTTTTGTTAGGAAAAAAAAAATAGTAAAGGATAATCGCTTATTACGCGGCATTTAATTGGTAATTTCTCAAACGATTCGTGTCAGATTAGGTCCAATTTCAGATATAAACTCTTTTTCCATATTTTGCCCAGGATTATTATGAGCAAAACTATGAATAGCAGCAATAGTTTTAATGCAGTTGGTTAATGTTATACCGGGATGGACGATATGAGTAAGCCGGGAACGCAACTCCAAATGCGAAGATTTTGACTTTCCTCAAACGTTTTATAGATAACCTTCCAACCAAATGCCTTCGTGTCGCCAATATAGAGGGAATGGACTAGCTCTGCAGTTGCTGCTATCTGATTAACAGGAAAAATCGGGTTAGAGTAAACCCGAAGCTGAACTTCATATGTAGAAGCGCGTCAAGAACCAATCCCCAAAGGCCTTCTTTAAGCCCCCTTTTGTTTTGGTTGCTTTTCATTGATATTAACAATGCCCTTTTAACAGTATTGCGTAGGCATTGTGTACCAGCTTCGCGTCGATGATCCGAAATGATATGACCCTTATAACTCTTGTGCTGTAAAGGAGCTATTGTTTAAATGAAGTCGTCGCGAAGTAAGTTCATACGCGTTACATTGAAGATCTAAAGCAGCCTTGAACTGTATGAATAAGGAACTCTCAGTGAAATATGCATAAATATAATCACCTGGAAGGACCATTTAGCATAAAATGCAGCACAACAATCTCCAAGTGCTATTAAGAGAAGTACAGCAGAGGAATGCGGTGCTCATGTGCTGAAGCCCTGCTGGTGAAACTCCGCTTTACGGAACAACGCTTCAAAAGCTACGAGAGTTTTCCATTTTCAAAAATCAACTACAAGCTATTATATATAGTAGTTAAAGAGCAATAGAAACCGTTGCACTGGATCGCGAGCGGGGGAATGGTGATGCAAGATTTTGCTTTGGTTGTAGAGTCTATACAGTTTTGCCCCATTAGCTTGAATGTTTAGATCAAATAATATCTTAAAGTTTGCAAGCTGCGTATTTTATCTATATATCTATTATATTTTTTCCTTTATTAGACGTATACTAAAATAATGGGCAGATAATTATTTTCCGCCCAGGCTAACGGTTACGTCTTTTCTAACAAAGCCTTCTTTGCATTGATTGAACATCTGAACAGCACAAGCCTAGCCTGTCATATTTTTTTTGCTAAAGCTTCTTACGGTGACATAGTCAAATCATCAGTCTTCACCGATAAATTATTATCATCGAAATAGCACAGTACAAAAACGGTTTGCTTATCTAACACCTGCTTTATTAGAAGTACCCGAACTCTTACGTAGACGATTTTTTCCAAAGGCAGCTGCCCCTGATCGTTCCACAACGGTGGATGGGCGGTGGATGGTAAGCGACATATCATGTCTGACCTCATCCCAGCTTCCCATTAACTCAGCTTCTAATTAGGATTGGCTATATCTGTTGCTACTTATGATGGGCTCGTTCCGTCAGGCAATTCTACCTTACTCAATTGTTGCTGCTCAGACTGCATACAATTTCAGACTTTCTTTTCCCTTCCGCTGTGCCCCGTCCTCTACCTCTCTACCCCTATAGCAACCCTCTCTTATACTTATATTCCATGGACAGTCTACCTATCATACACCCACAGGGCTTTCGAATATCCAGAGTCTTATAGTCCCTTTCTTTCAGCCTTTAGGGCCTATCTTGCTCTCCACTATCCACCTATGCCTTCTGACACCATTCTTCCATCACACACGTTTGTACTGCATTAGATATCTGTCAACGCTGCGACTGCACACGGCCCTTGCGCACATATCTCGAATATAACGACAATTTCATCCATTGTTTTATGCACTTCTTTTTTCACACAGCTGAAGGCGGAAAGCCACCTTAAGGAAAGCATCATTCACACCGGTTGTTAAGTAGCAATCCCCATTGATCTCGTTTTTCTTCGAAAAAGGCCGACTATTCCGTTTCCTTACAGCACTGCTATTCATTTTGTGCTTGCTTTTTTCTTTATCTTTTGCCACCTAAACTGAAAAAAAAGCTAACTAAAAAAGCTTCGAGATTATAGCTACCTTGACATATAGATCCGGATGTACTTCACAGTCCCGTGTTTGGTAACGCCACTGGCACTACAACAGCGAATGTCAAGCATCGCGGCAACTCATGTTCTACTGCAATAGCTTCACCGCTTTAAGCTTTAATTTGTGCGGCGTTGACACCTGTAGGAAGCAAAAATGAAAGTTCTCTCTAAAGCTCTAACGCCCGAGGGTGTTCGAGGAGGCTTTTCCGCCAAAACTATTTGCACTCCCTATCTCTTAGCCACACCCATCATCGCCCACCCAAAAACATTTACTTTTCGTCTTAATCAACGTACAACTCCTGTACATGCTAGTCTAGCATTGCACCCGCCCGCCGTTGTACAACTTTGTCCAACCGTTATTAGAACCAAAGGTATTCCGAGTACGTTCTTGGCTTTTGGACGTCAGGCGGAAGGCCTAAAGTATCACTGAAGAACTAACTCACTTAGAAGCAGAAGTAGCGACTCAGCGTCGTTGCTATATTCGCACTTACCGTGCGTTGGCAGCGCGTTTGGCTATTCTTGGCGTTGCGTCTTACCGGCAGCGATCACACAAAACGAGGAGAACGACGAGCAGAAAAAGGGCAATCGAGGCCGACTAGATTCTAAACCATAGCCTACGGAGTAGCAAGCGCTAAATAGAAAAAAAAAAGATTGAAAAATCGTATTGTTGCTCTCTTGGCGACGTGTTTTGCCAGCTCCATTTCTTCTGTATCGTTTACCACTGCATTCAGCACAGACCTGAGGATCGTTATTCCTAGAACACAATTAGATCCCCGGTTGGCCTATGGGCTCAGTGCATTCTTCGCTAGCCTGCTTTTCTACAATGCCTTACACTGTGAAGAAAAGTGCTTTTCCTGCTGCTTCTGCAGGTTGATCTAGCCTCTGCTATCCTCTTCCGCTATCATAGCTTCATTCTTCCTGTAAGCCGAAAGCCCCTCGCCCACACCACACACGCGTGCTATCTAGCTGCGGTAGCAGCACATCTTCACCTAGCACCTCACTGTACATGAAAGCCGTTTGTCGCACGGTTTTTAGCAGTTGCCACGAATCGCCGATCACTGTGGACCTAGTGTATGGTACCAATTTGGTTCGCGGCGTCTCGGTTTCTCGCTCACGGCCTTCTCTAATGTTCATTATGGTTGAGTTTCGAGCGTCAACGCCGGCGCTAGTACAAGCGTCAATAGTGGTCACATTGTTTAAAGCGTATACCGCCATTGGTGTGATATCTGAAAAGCGCTTAAGAAAGAGAAACCGGCACAGGGGTCGGTCAGACAAAGCGGAA